TGCTGTGGCATTTTAACACAAAGCTTTATGCCCCTCTTTTAGCTGAAAAGCTGGCTCTGCCAGGGAAAGTTGAAAGTTGCTGTTACTGGACTTACTGAAGGATGGAGGGAAGGGAAGGAAAGGGCAGCTTCTCCCCTCCCTTTGAGCATTAGCACTTGCTGGGTCTGTGGAGCAGGGCCTGGTCACATACTATTCAAGAAACTGTGCTGACTTCTGCTCCCCCATCCTCAGTTCAGAGTAAGGCTACATCTGCTTGAGTTTTGATAATTGAATCCATGTAAAATCAATTTGCCTTCACCAATGCCAACTCTTAATGCAAGTGAAGCTACTTAGATGTTGATAATGTTTTGAATTAAATCAAACCAGTAGAAGCTACATTTAAATGTGTTTAAGGCTAAATTTTATTTATGTTGTACCAGTGTAACTGGATCACTTTTAAATTCAAATTTAACCCTACCAAGGCAATTTTCTCAGCGTAGATTAGGTTTGCACAGTGAGGAACCTTGACTCTGGAGATGCCATGTAACATGCTTTTGAGGCTAACAGTTCTCATCGACTATAACGATGTGGTTAATTCAAAAAAACCCAAGGCTGGAAGTCAGCGCAGGATACACCGCTATCGATCTTTCGGGCCCTGACAGTGGTCTTAAGAGAGTTAGTTGACTTTTGCTATTTTCTGAGGTGAAGAAAGAGGAGGCATTACTTAATTATAACCAATTCTGACAGTGACTGGGGTTCACAGCCTGAAGCACAGCAATAGGATGAAAGTGAAAAGACACTGGCAGCCAGAAAGGTCCTTCTGTAGGAATGCAGAGGGGTTTGGATGGCAGAAGGGGTTAATTCTCTAAGAAAGATAATTTGCATTACTGCACACTTTATTCTTTTGTTTTTGGTTGGGTGAGTGGAGCCCTCGGTGCTAACTTCTTTGGTCGTTATTGGCTCTGCTTCTTTGACAGAACAAAAGAGCCTTTGTTGTCCATCAAAGACCATTGCAATCCATCCAGATACCCAAGGCCCCAGAAGGGGGAGGTGGATGTGGAGGAGCTGCCTGTGTTCCTTCCCCCACAAACAGCATCAATAAAGTTATTGAAATAATTTTCATCATTATTGAAATCTTATCAAAGGAAACGTTCTTCAGCATTTACATCAGTGCAACTACCACTGTAAATGCTGACTTCAGTAAGACTTACAGCAGGGCTGGGAGTCTACCCTGTATGTCTGTAGGTCTGTCAGGTGAGTTGAAACACAAATAATTTGGGATGAAGTTGCTTCTAGAGACTTTTGCACCTGACCATTACTGTCCTGGGGGTGGGTGGGGTGTGTGTGTGGGGTGTGTGTGTGTATGTTGAAGGAGTGTCCCCGCTCTGTGTTGTCTCTGGATCAGAGAATGTGTTGAACCTCTGGTGGAATGAAGGCATGTTTTAAAGACAAAGGTCCCAATTCCTTCTACTTAATGGAAAAGAATTAGGAACCTCCTGATGTTGGACCCCTGGCATAGTCCATGGTGAAGGATAAAGCATGCCTCTCCTCTTCCAAAAGACAACACAGCTGATGTAAACTCCACATCCTTCCTTTAGTTGTGGTGACTGCCAGAAGAGTTTAAACTTGGCTCCAAACTTAGTAATGGCCACTGGATCCCACAAATCATGTACTATGAATCTAGCCATAAACATCTAGATGCCTTCTCAAGGATGTTATACGAGCAGCTCATGCATCTGTGTATGCTCATGTATCTATATTTATGTAAATAGCTAATATTGTTGGAGAATGATCAGTGAAATGTATACCAGCAACCCTGAGTTCTGTGCTTGTGCATCCTTGGCTGTCTGGATGAAAGAGGATTCATTGAAGGATTTGGGCCCTGAGGGGCAAAATCAAACAGCAGATAACTTTTGCTTTCCTCATGGCACTAAGATTAAAAAAAAAAGAGAGAATACAAATGTAATAAAGAGAAATTACCTAAAATTCATGCAGGTAAAACCAATAGAAAAAAAGAATATTAAAAAAAAAACTCAAGAAAATGAATAAATATTAATGAAAATATTCAAAAGCCCAGATGCTTTCATTGGTCACCACAGGAGGGACATATTAATTTGAAATGATAATATAAAACCTTGAAAAGGCTTTAAAAAAGGGGTGAAGGAACAGCACACACACTGTTCCCATGGGGTCCCGCAGCCAATGCATGGCTGAGCTGTAGCTAAGGGCTTCCCCTCCAGCTCAGCCTGCCCTTGAGAGTTAAACCACGTGTGTTTAAAGCACGCATACCTGCCTCAAACCTAACAAAATACCCCTTCCGTCTGAATTTTCCCCTGCGTTCACAACACAGCAGCAAAGGAAAATAAAAAAGAGTGCTAATCTATCCTACAGTTTCCCGAACAAGGACTCCGGGCAGGGGTTTCTGAGTGGATTTGACAGATGTACGAGCAGATGGTGAGGGACACTCCCTGAGAGCAGCCGATTCCCAGGCCTCCATGTCCAAAACAATAGCTTTCCACGGATAATGTGATTTTCAGAGGGAAGAAATCCAGTGCTCACGTCTCGCACCAAAACTTCTCGGTCATTTCGTGAACACGCAGGGGCTGTGTGAAATTGCCTGTCTTCAGAAAAGAGCTGCCTGGTGACGATATGCCACGGGGCTCGACCTGGCCCTCGCAAAACCCGAATTTGCAGCCTGACAGCTCCGTCTCACAAGCTTCTCCATGGCTGCAAGTCTACAACCGGCAGCCGAATCGGGACCACCTCGTGTTTGCGTTGGGTGTGACATATTAGGCCTGTTTTGCTCCTGCCAGAACGCGCTATGCAAAGTAACATATCCCATGAAGTATCCATTTAATGCATGCATTTCTGTACAGCCCACGCACTGAAATACATCACGCGGGAGCAGGGCTCATGCCTTGTTAAATGTTGGCGAGCGCCTGGTGAACCCCTACACTGAACATGGCAGTGTGAAATGGAGCTGATGGACCTGTTTTGAGGCCCGTGATTTGACAGAAAAAGGTGGTCTCCTGATCAAATGGGGCAGGAGCTGGGAGAAGCGGGTGTTGTGATTCATCCCACCACTGCCAGCATGTTTTTAGCAGCAAATTAGCCTCAGCTGCCCATTTCTTATGGAGGGGATTCACGTCAGACCCTACCGCTGCCTTGCGGGGGGCTCCCAGTCTCCTGATATCGCCTTCCTCTGCCCAGCAGATTTATCTTTTGTACATTTAATTATGCCACGGTGGGACAGGACCCTCTCGGCCCACGTTCTGCACAGCTCCCGAGGTAGCGGAGCTCCCCTGCGGAGCAGCTCCCCCCCGCCATGTCGGAGCCCTTGGCCTGGGGGTTTGGGGCAGCACGAAGCCGGGGCCCCGGCTGCCAGCCCAGCCTGTGGGGAACCTGGAGTGGATGGGACAAAGGGCTGTGTTAACAAGAAAGAGCCCAAAAAGCTTTGGGAAGGCTCAGAGCGAGAGATGGGTTTGGGGGCTCCTGTGGAGGAAGGGGGGGGTCCTAAGGAGAAGTTTGGCGGGTGCTCGCCCGGGGAAGGGGGAGAGAGGACAAACAAAAGGCGATGGCTTCCCTCAAAGCCAGCCCCC